CTGGAATATGGGCTGCCCCCTACAGCTGGCTGGGGCATGGGCATTGACCGCATCACCATGTTTCTCACAGATTCCAATAATATCAAGGTACACAGCAGCCCTCCATAGCACACACTGCCCAAAACTCTATTGTGTTGGAAGTAGAGCATGTGGCACAGGAGAATAAAGAAAAGTTTGGGGGGTATTAGGAGGAGCTGTTGGAGGAGTTCCACACCACTCCACAGGAGGCGGCTGAGAGCARTCTGACTTTAGAGGATTTAGTTTCTCCATATGAGACAGGAGGAATAYTGATTATTTGCGTTTCATGAGTTTCCAGGAGAGTGCTGAGCTCTTTACAGGTGTTAGTTCATTTAATTTAAGTCAGCCCTGTTAAGTGTGGAAACCCGATTTTTGTCCAATTTTAATAGCGCCCATGTTTACTAATCCTATGGCACCCTAAGTAGTGCTGTGCATTAGTTCTCTTCCATCTGTTACTGAGAGAGACTGAGTTGAAATAAAAGAACACATTGATTTTTTTAGTGGATTTGGGTGGTAACGTTAACAGAGGCAAAAGGAATAGAATGCTTCCTAGCTTTAAAATGCATCTTTATCTCCTATAGGAGGTACTCCTGTTTCCTGCCATGAAGCCCGAAGACAAGAAGGAGACTGTAACAACCACTGATAAACTGGAAGGCACAACAGTTGGCACTTCTGTGTAGAAAACAGTTCCAGGGCATGTAATCAGGAATCCTTGCATTTCTGCAAAAGATCAGGTCTGCGAGGGAATTCTTTTATGTTGCCATCTATTTGACTACCACAGTTCAGTTCAGCCACCAGAAGAAAGAAGATGAATTAAGAGTTTCTTTTTACTCCTTGTTACCAAATAAACCATTTGTCTCTATCTTTGAACTGGTAACTCTTTACTCAAACTGCTGGTTCAATGAATGCTTAGGATTGTCCCATCTTATTCTTGGAACAAATTTGTATTAATGTCTGCTCTGTGTGGGCATTGTTTTGTTTTAAGGGATTTGGGGGCACAGCAATGAACAAAAGTCAAACCACTACTTTCATGAAATWTGTATTCTTTTTGGGTTGGGGCAGCAGTAGGAAAAATAGACAAGAAACAAGTAAATAGATATTCTTTCTGGTGGGGGTACACACAAAGAAGAAAAATAGAGCAGTTGAGGGGTTCAGAGGTGCTATTCTGGATGTGGATGGGGGAGTGCTATTTTGAATATGGCTATCAAAAATAGCTATGCTATGGGACAATTAAGTAAAGATCTGGAAAGAGAGATGAGTGGGAAAAGRGCAATCCAGACTAGAGAACCATATTTTTGAGGAACAGCAAAGGGATTAGTAAAGGACAGTGAGGGGCCAGATTGTATAAGCCTGTGATAGTCACAGAATTATTTCATAATGAGCAAGATGGAAAGCCATTGGAGAGCTGAGCAAAAAATTACTTTTAAGGATGATTCTAGCTGGTGTGTGAAGAGCAAGAGTGAAAGCAAGCTGTTCTACTGGACTGGGGAGAGATCATAGCTTAGTTTTGGGTGTTAGCGATGGAAATTGTTGCACTTTTCTGGTTTCTGATGGCAACAGAATTGGCTGGTGAGATGTGGGATGAGAAAAGAAAATGTATTTCAAGGTTTCAGTTCTGAACAACTAGAAAAKTAGAGTCACCTTTTAGTGAGATGGGAAAAACTGAGGAAATGCATGTTTGAGAGGGAAAGATGAGAGTTTGGTTAGGACCTGTTAAGTTTGTCATACCTTTTAGACATGCAGGTGGAGATAATCCTGTTCAATAGGGAGCCTGAAATTTTCTCATTTTTAGCTTAATTCAGCAGGGCTGAGAATGTGACATGACAGGGTGTGGCTGAGAGCCTGTTAGAATGGAGCCCCTTCTCCCTGACATGGAAGCAGCTGGAGAGAACTGTATTCAGAAGAGTCATGTATCAGAAAGCACTCGTCATTTGCACCTCAGCAAAAATCTCTGCAAGCATCCTAGTTTGGGAGTTGCCAGTCTACTTTCATAGAGCAGGTTTCTACTGCTATAGTTGGTAAAATGATATAAGTCTAACTTAGAACTAACAGCATATCTAACTGGGAACTACTGGGAGTGTGGAGCATCCCCACTCCTAGTTAAGCTATGGATAACCAGATCGTATTTAAAAAAGAAACGCTTCCAATATGGTACATCCTCAGAAAGGCAATGTTAATTAAGATGGAGAAAGCCAACCCTCCATTGGGAGAATGTAGAGGATCAAGACCAGATAAGGGACTGGGCTGTGGCAATGTGGTCAATGTGGACCATTGGAAAAAGCTATCAGGAATGATGAAATTATTAGTGACCTAAAGATTTATTCAGCAGGCTGGAAACAGAAACCAGCTGTCTGGCCTTAAGTCTCTGGGAATAGAGGAATAGGTAGCAGTAAACTTGTATGTGGGGTTTAGCAGGAAACTGACAAACAGGATGAAAGCTAGAAGGGAATAGAAAGAGTCCTCATGACTTCATCAAACAATTGAAGGCTGACAATTTGCTGACTTCTATACTAGAGTAAGCAGAAACACATGGTCCCAAACTTTAAGTTCTAGACTTGTAAGGAAAAGAGATTTTAAAAAATCATCTACCAGGCTGGGGATGTGGCTCAGGTGGTGGCGGGCTCGCCTGGCATGCGTGCGGCCAGGGTTCCATCCTCAGCACCGCATACAAAGATGTTGTGTCTGCCAAAAGCTGAAAAATAAATATTGAAATTCTCTCTCTCTTTCTCTCTCTCAAAAATAAATAAATAAATAAAATAAAAAAATCATCCACCAAAATTTGTATAAAATGCCAGCTCTGGTAAACGCTTTGAAGTAATCCATGGGGTACTGAGAAACTGACAAACTGAGGTAGGAAAGGTTTGTTTCTCTGAGGACATTAGAGTTGAGATGTAAAGGAAAGTCAACGAAGGAGGAGGGTGTTACCATGATATGGAAACAGTACAAAGCCCCTATGGTAGAAAGRAGTACAGAAATAAAGCAAAGATAATCTGAGTACAGAAACCCAAAGAAATAGGACACCCGGTGAGACAGGAAGAGGCTGGGCATTCAGGGCTCTGAGCCCTACTATGTAGGGTTTTCTGTTTACTAAAAGTGCTGGGAGCTGGGAGGGCGCAGTGGTGCACTGTAATTCCAGCAGCTCAGTAGAGCACTTGCCTCACATGCTAGAGGCCTGGGTTTGCTCCCTGGCTATTGAATGCCTGCTATGTAGCCGCCTCCACATAGATGGGGATTGACCTAGAGCAGTAAAACCTAAGGTTGAAAGACTTCATTTTCCTATGTCCTCTAGGTCTCTTAGGCAAAGTAAAAGGCCTTATGGTTGAGTTTCAAACAACCTCATGGGTGGTGTCAGWGTTTGTCCTAAGGGTGCCTAGAATTCTAAACAGTGCTACACTTAAGATCAAGACCCAGACTAGCTGGGCATAGTGGTGCACGCCTGTAACCTCAGCGACTTGGGAGGCTGAGGCAGGAGGAGTGCCTCAGCCACAGCAAGGCACTAAGCAACTCAGTGAGACCCTGTCTCTAAATAAGATACAAAAAAAGGCTGGAGATGTGGCTCAGTGGTTGATGTCCCTGAATTCAATCCCCAATTACCATCCCACCCCCACCCACAAAAAAGTGCTGGGAATCCACTGAAATATTTAAGCAGGGGGGTGCGGTCACAGTGTGGTTTGAAGAGACCAGTCTGGCTTCTATAGAAATAAATGGGAATTAGACAAGAAAAAGGTGAAAATTCAGAGATTAGAAATCAACCTAAGAGTACAGTGGCTTGGATAAGAGATTGTCTTGGAAGTACAAAGCAGCAGATGTGTTCTAGATAGGAAGAAAGATCAACAGGAYGTGGCAATGGATTGGACTGCGTGTGTGTTAAGAGACATGATGAGGGCGCTCGTTTTTTACTTTATGCAACTAGGTTGACCGTAATATAAATCCCTGAGGTGAAAGAATGCAGCAAGATGACCTCACCCCACACACTGGAATGTGTGTGACAGAATGGAGAGATGCATATTAATGATTTTKGGGGAGAGAAATGACAAGTAGTGTCCTTAACTTTGGAGGAGGGCTGTAGTTCTTTTCCTCTGAGCTAGAGARAAGGACCAGGTCAAGTAAGTGGCACTTATACCTCTTTTTTTGGGGGGTGGGGGGGGCACCAGGGAGTGAATTCAGGGGCCTCTAAGCCACATCTGCAGCCCTATTTTGTATTTTATTTAGAGGCAGGGTATCACTGAGTTGCTTAGCATCTCGTTTTTGAACCTCAGCCTCCCAAGCCACTGGGATTAGAGATGTGCGCCATCGCGTCCGTCTGCCTCTAACTTTTGATGGATTCAGGAAGAAAAATGAGTTTTCTCACCTTTAGCAATTGAGGTATATAATTGCTGGATGGTAAAGTTTTCTGAACTCTCCAGACAGCTATATTTCCTATAGCTGGCACACTGGAGGCTTTAGGTCCACCCTGCCCATTACAGTAGCCATCAGCCACGTGTGGCTATAGACAAATTGAAATGTGATTGCTTCAAATTTAGATGTAATTGTAAAATACACACCAAATTTCTTAAACAGTATGAAAAACTAATATATGATTCACACTACTATTTTTTTAATATGGCTACTAGAAAAATTTAACTACATGTAGCTCTGATTATATTTCTGTGGAAAAGTGTTCGTTTAGACAGAAATCCAAACCAGAATTCAAAGATACATCATCCTATTTCAAACCGTATCTCACCTGCAGAGGTCTCCCGTCAGCGGGTTTCTCGCGAACCTAAGCGTGTGGCAGAGGCTGCGAGCTCTAAGGGCCGGCAGCGCGGCTCTGGGTCCGCCCCCGCCTCCGCCCCCGCCTCCGCCCCCGCCTCCGCCCCCGCCTCCGCCCCCGCCTCCGCCCCCGCCTCCGCCCCCGCCTCCGCCTCCCGGAGGACTACAAGACCCAGAGTGCACTGCGCGCCTCTGGGGGTGGGCCTGGGAGGCGCAGTCGCTTTAAACGTCACGTCCGCGGCGGCCCTGGGCTTCTGAGCTGAAGCTCGTTCCCTCCGGGGCTGTCCGTCGGGGAGGTTTAAGGGGTGCGTCTACGAGGGATGGGAGTCCCCGGGTCAGGGGCGCGCAGTTGGGGGGTTTTTGGGTCGCTGGGTCAGGTGCCTCGGGACTGGCGTGGCCAGTCTGGTTTTATATGGGAAGAAGGGTCACATGTCACGTTGAACGGTCGGGTCCACGCCCGGAGTTGTCAACACGCGCCGCGTGGAGCGCTCTCGTGGCCGGGGCGCGGCGTGCAGCCTCGAGCCGCTTCCTCGTGACCCGCGAGTCAGCGCTCGCCTGGTTCCCCCGTGACGGCGCCGGAGCCTCGCGGTCTTCCTTGGCCGCGGATTTAGCGAGGGGTTAGCGAATAGTAGCCTCCCGCTCCACCAAATCCTGGAAAAGCTCCTCTGTAGCTGACTTGACTTTTCTTTGAAAAGGAAGAACGTTCTTCAGCTTGCTGCAGCTGTTAAAAAATGCGGCCTTGTGGGCAAAGGAACGCCTGTTTAACTGAGCTGTTTTATAGGAAGGTGTTTTTCAAGCTCTGGAAGGGGTGCAGACTTAAATTATAATGGACCCATTAAAACTTTCATTCATTTCAGCAGCTACGTGTGTTCATTAGCATCAGCTAGCTGAATGAGATGATTAGCTTGGATTGCTTTCTTGGGAGACTGTTTCTTCTGGCAAATTCCCCCTTCCTTGACTGGCTTAGTTTGTTATGTGCATCTTTGCATTATTTTCAGGTGGATGGCAGGGTATCTGCCTTCATAAAATATATTGCTTGTGATGCCTCCCTGGAAATGACAGGGGGGAGTCCCTTCCAAATGAAGGATTTAGGATCTTCCATACTTTTCTTTGCTTCTAAAGATTCAAGACTTCCCGCCCAGCGTGATGGTGCAGGCCTGTAATCCCAGCTGCTGGGGAGGCTGAGGCAGGAGGATGGTGAGTTCAAACCCAGCCTCAGCAACTTAGTATGGCCCACAGGAGATCCTGTCTATAATAAAATACAAAAAAGGGCTGGGGCTGGGGCTCAGTGGTTGGGGGGGCGGGAATAGATTCAAGACTTCTGTGGTTTTCTGACTGTAAAATCACAATCTGTAGGGTCCTACAAGATTTTTGTTTAAAATCACTATGGTCTAATTAACCGTTACCATTTATTGCAGTAATAGCAGTGAGTAGAAATATCTATCATTACTTACTGACTTATTGCAATAATAGCATTGTATAAGTATCTTTCACAAGCTACATACATTTGAAATTCAGTATAACCTTTGTTGTTTGTGTTTTGTTTTACAGTGCTTAGCTATATTCCTTGCGGTATGATCACATCTTCTACTAAGAAGCTTTCATATAATTGAGTCCAAGTGAGGTCAGGATGTATCTAGTGAGCACTGATACAACCAAGAGTAGAAGACTTTCCTACAAAATATCCCAGGACTTTTTCAGGAGTGATCTTTTTTTTTTTTTTTTTTTTTTTTTTTTTTTAATTCACGACCTCACGTGCCCATTACAGTCTCCTTACCCACCACCAAGTAGATCAAGGTAAATTACCCACAACAGACATCAAATGTTTTTTTGTTTTTTGGGGTTTTTTTTGGTAATATTAATCACAGTTGGTATTAATTGTTCAACATGGTAGCTTTTATAAATATTATTTGTAACTCTAATTGGTTGCTCTTATCACTGTTTTAAACCATGAGGAAACAAACAGAAAAGTTACCAAGCTACCCAATATTATATAGTTCATTTGTGGAAAGCTGGAATTAGAACCCAGAAAGGGCAACTCCATGCCTAAACCCTTAAGCACACAGTTCCTCTAAGAACTCTTGACTAGTGGGTACAAGGTAATTTTCTAGAGGGAGGTAGAGATTCATTCTATTGTAGGGAAAGAAGAGAAAAACAAAGTGCCTGAAAAGAACTTCTGTCTAAGAAGATAAAGTTTGGATGGTGAGAGTCTGCCCAAAACAAGCTGAGTTCTGCAAACCTTTATGTGCTGTTTCCAAATGGAAATTGAAGTAGTGAGGACGCTTCCCTGTCATTTGCTTTTGTGTTGAATAGTAAGTGTACATTCATTAGATACTTGTGAGACATCTAATATTCTTTCGTGAAGAAACAAGTTTTCGGTGTTTGGGATTTGGGGCTTTAATTTTTCATATTAAAGATGAGAAGGGGACAGGGAGGAAAATGGGAAAAAATTAACTAGAGTTCCACATAGAGGAATCTCAATCTGAACGTAATTGGGCTACACTGAAAAGACTGTCGAAGCACTGGTGCAAGGCTGTAAATCTGGTACTGGTTCTCCTTTCTGTACTTGTGATGGTTGTGGGTTTTGATCAGGGCCTCAGCACCAGCTCCAACCATGTGGACCCCAGATGAGATCGCTCAGCTGTGCTATAAGCACTATGAGATCAGGCTGCCCAAGCAAGGGAAGCCGGAGCCAAACCGTGAATGGACATTGTTGGCAGCTGTAGTGAAGATACAGTTTCCAATTTATGAGGCCAGTGACACTCCTGATAAGCCAGTACAAGGTAAGACCTTTTCTCCTGTCCCTTTCAGAGATGATAGAATTATGTGTTGCTACTCAGGGACAGTTGTAGGCAGGTTGCAACTACGATGTTAGGCATGTTTCCCTGATATCCACTAGGTGGCACAGTACTTCTAGCGGGAGACCTTTTGTGGGAATCCTCTGCAGAATTATTAAGCCTGAGCACGAGGGAAAATTTAGCCTCTGAGAGCTCACTTAATGATTTGTTTTTTCCTCTCAGTGACAAAGGAAGTTGTCTCAATGGGAACAGGAACAAAATGCATAGGCCAATCCAAAATGAGGAAGAGTGGTAAGCATGGGTAGGGGTCTAAGCAAAGAATTGTCTCCCTGGGAGCTTTGGAAACCAGTGTCCATGTTAACCTTTGCTCTCCTTGTCAGGGAAAAAGGGCCATATTAGTTGAGGTAGCTGACCTCTCATTTCCTATTGACTCTCACTCCAATTGGAAGACAGTCCTTATTTAAAGAATGGAAATTCAAAGTGAAAGCAAAGGTCACCAGGACCATGCTTTCTGGATGAACTGAAATCCAGTCCGTATTTTCATACTGAAACTACAAGTTCCTTGGGTTTAACTATTCCAGATTATTGTCTGGAAGGCTTTCAGGCTCTGTAGCAGGTAGAGGATGTAGCTCAAGTGGCTTCTGAAGTCCCAGAAGCAATTTTGAGTTAGATGGAGCTTTTGGTACCAACAGAATATGGAAATTCTTTATAGAGTCTGGGATCATTATCTTCTGCTTCTAGTTAGGAGGTACCTTTTTGAGTTTGCTTGCTGCATTCTCTGATCCTTGCCTCCTATATATGAGGAAGCTGTACCGGGACAGAATTAGATAGAATCGGAACCATTAGCATAATATGATACCAGATCTTTTGTATATCTGTACCCTGGTCTCCAGGTAGAGATTTTTCTATAAATCAGTGTTTCTCATCTAGGGGCCATTTTGCATACCAGGGTACATTTGGCAATGTTTAGAGGTGTTTTTTGTGTCACCACTGGGAGAGGGGTATTCTTGGCATCTTTTGAAGTGTCAGGAGTGCTGCTAAACGTCTTGTAATGCACAGGCTAGTCCCCTGCAGCAAAGGATTATCTATCCCCTGATGTCTATGCTGAGTTGAGAAACCAAGCTGTAAATGCTTTATCATTAATTGTGATACCTTATAGCAAAGCCCTTCAGGAGCTCCATGGCCATCCTGAGTGCTGGGGTACTGCTGTTTTCCGTTTCTAGGAACTAGGGCCTCTCCAGTATGTCTTCCATATGTCTTTACCTACTCCTGTCTTTGCCGTAGGAGATATTCTCAACGATAGCCATGCTGAGGTCATAGCCAGAAGGAGTTTCCAAAGGTAAAGCCATATCCTCAGAGAATCTGATTCCCTGGGTTTGGGATAGTGACCCAGAATTGTGTTTCTTCTAAACTCTTAGGTAATATAGATTGTCAGTCTGTAAACTGCTGTGGTCTAGACTTCAAACTAGAATGTGCATTAGAGTCACCTAGAAAGCTTGATAAAAGCCAGATAGGTCAGTGGTAAACTGCTTGCCTAGCATGTTTGAAGCCCTGGGTTCAATTCCCCAGCATTGAAAACATTAAAAAATAATAAAAAGCTAACCAAATGCAGTAGCACATGCCTGTAATCCTAGTGACTCAGGAGGCTAAGGCAGAAGGATCACAAGTTCAAGGCCAGCCTTAGCAGTAAGACAGTGTCTACCCTGGATCTGCTAAATTAGAATCTCTAGGGTGGGTCCATCAGTCTGTGTGGGAGTTTTGTTTTTGCAGTACTGAGCTACACCCCCAGCCAACTTGTTCATTCTGGTCATATTTTATAATCCTTAGGTACCTTCTCTATCAGCTGCAATTGGCAGCTACCCTAGACAAGGAGAGTATCTTTGTCCCAGGAACTCAAAGAGGACTGTGGAAACTCAGACCCAACCTCTTGTTTGTGTTTTTCTCCAGCCATACGCCCTGTAAGTATATTCAAGCCTTTGTACTAATGTTGCATTGTTTACTTCTTTATGTTTGTTTTACCCATAGAGATGTTTCTCAGAAATAGTCCTCTGGCTAAAGTATAGCTACAGTGGGTGACAGCGCCTTTTTATGTACCTAGTCACTTCTCTACTGGTGGAAGGCAATGGGACAGGTAGGAAGAGGTGGATAGAGTCTCACTCAATCAGTTCTCAGAATTAAGCTCTGTTAGATGTGAAGCCAACAGTGGGGCTCAGGAGTCCAAAGTCCTGCTATGATAACTTAGCCTGAAACTCGTTTCATTCATTGACTTATTGAACACATTTTCTATTAGCCAGGCACAATGTGACATACTGAATATAGTAGCAGTTGCTTATCATAATAGAGTCTTTTAGGCCATGTAGACTGTCCTGGTTATTTAGGGTAAATGTTATTGGGTTATTAGGGGATGTTCAGGAGCTTAGTCTCAGGAGTTATAGTCTCAGCAACTTAGCTAAACTCTTGTCTCAGAAATAAAATAAAAAGGGCTGGAGATGTAGTTCAGAGGTAGAGTACCCCTGGGTTCAATTTCCAGTACCAAAAACAAAACAGAAGAACAGACCTAGATAACCTAAGGGGTCATTTCTTTCTTCTGTTTTTCTCAAAAGCTGAAAATACTGCCTATTCTTTGTAGACACAACTCAGTCTTGGCAGTAGAATTTCTTCAACCTAAAAACTTTGACATAAGGATATAAGATTGTCTTCTGGGTATTGAACTTTAATGCAAGTAAAGCAGAGATGGGTAATCATTATAAAGAGACAAAAGAACTGTCAAGATTTGATCATAATGCAGGTTGAAAATATTGTTATAGCTCAAAAAAGAATAAGGATGGAAACCAGTTGATTAAGAGTAGAAGTCAAGGGGTGGGGTTGTGGCTCAGTGGGAGAGTGTTTGCTTCACATGCATCAGGCACTGGGTTTGTTTCTCAACACCACATAAATAAGTAAAAAATAGAGGTATTGTGTCCATCTACAACAAAAAAATTTTTAAAAATAGAAGTCAAGAAAAATGACAGGTAGATAGGGCTCATCTGTGCTCTATCCATTACTGTGGGTACACTAGTCCAAGGACCAAAGGATGTTTCCTGGTCAGTGCTTCTCAAACCATAATATGCACACAGATCATCCACAAATGTTAAAATGCAGTCAGTAGGTTTGGAGTGAGGTCTGAGGTTCTGCATTTCTAACCAACTCAGAGGATGCCAGTGATGATACTCTATGGGTCACACTTTAAGTAGCCAGGGCTTGGGTGGTCCCAGTGGCAGGTCCCATCTTTCTCCTTACTTTGAAGACAGATGCATCCAGGGTCAGACTGATAGCCCAACCAAACTATATAAACCAGCAGTCCACAGATGTGCTGATCTGTGAGTCCATGGCAAAATAAGAGAGTTGTTGGGTTCGCTAAACTTAAAAGACTTTTCTTTCTCCTTCCTTCCTTCTTTCCTTCCTTCCTTTATGGTGCTCCCATTGGACCCAGGGCCTTAAGCATGCTGGGCCAGTGCTTTACCACTACACTACACTCTCTGTTATCTTAAAATTTTACTCTGGAAATTAAAGACAACGACAACAATAACAAACAAAAATCTTCTGGAAATTTGGCTGGTCAGTGAAATCAAAATCTGGAACCACTGATCTGATTTCCTTACATTTTGAGTAATCTTTTAAAATGTATCATTCCCCATAGCTTATGTGCAGGAAGAAAGCACATGCTACTTGGAGAATGTGACTCTCTGGCTCCCTGGGCATTTACTTCTCATTACTAATTAATAATTTGGTGCCTTGGTGAGCTGCTTCAGACTCTTACTTGTGAATTTTATTAGCATGAGTCAGCCTCTCCTGTTCATTCTGTCAAGATCAAATAATCTCTCAGCCTAGAGTGGGAGGTAGACCACAGCAAATTCTGTCAGCAAAGTTGCTGTCACCTTGTGAGGTCTGTGGAAGTCAGCCAGCCAGCCTCTCTAGCAACACTTCCCACTTGTACATCTCTTGCCTTTCCCTGTCTGACATTATAAAGACAACAGATGTATTATTTACACACTTAAAAAAGCACATGCATTAGATTAGTGTTTGAAGAAATCACTTCCTTCTCAAGGGAAATGGTGCCTCTTACTAACCTCTGGTGTTCTTTGGGTCCCAAAGAGTAAATCAGAAATCTCTATAGACAAGCACAAGGGGAGACACTGGAGTTTTGGAAACACTGGTTTGGACTAGTGTGGTATAATTTACTGCAGACCCTCTACTATGGGAATATGTATCATAAAGTCTCCCAGAGGACATTTTGAGCAATGTTTGCCAAATTTGTTTAATTATGAAATAAACCACCCACTTTTGTTTTTCCAAGCCATTATATGGGATAGCAATCCACAAAATGCAGCTCAGTGGCAGAGTGCTTGCCTAGCATGTGTGAGGCACTGGGTTCAATCCTCTCAGCACCATATTAAATTTTTTTTTGGTGTTGGAGATTGAACTTTTTTTTTTTGGTACCAAGGATTTTGAACTCGGGGGCACTCAACCACTGAGCCACATCCCTAGCCCTTTTTTATATTTTGTTTAGATTTAGAGACAGGGTCTCACTGAGTTTCTGAGAGCCTTGATCAATTGCTGAGGCTGGCCTCCAACTAGGAATCCTCCTGCCTTAGCCTCCTGAATTGCTGTGATTACAGGATGCACCACCACACCCTCCTGAAACCTTGCTCATTCTAAATCAGTGGTTCTCAGCTGGGGAAAATTTTGCTCCCTGGGGGACATTTGGAAAATATCTGGAGACACTTGATTATCAGATTGCAGGGCAGTGGGCATCTAGTAGATAGAGACCAGGGATGCTACTGAATTTTCTCTAGTATATGGAACAATGCCCAGAATTCTCAGAGCCAGCAGCTCTGAGGCTGAGGCAGGAGGATCCCAAGTTCAAAGCCAGCCTTAGCAACTTAGTGAGTCTGTAAGCAATTTAGCAAGACCCTATCTCAAAATAAAAAACAAAAAGGGCTGGGAGTATGTCTCTGTGGTTAAGTGCCTCTGGGTTCAATCCCTGATACTAAAAACCAAAAAAATTGTGTCTTAGATTTTTGGGGGGGTTTTATGTACCGGGGATTGAACCCCGGGGCACTTAGCCATTGAGCCACATTCCTAGCCCTTTTTATTTTTTATTTTGAGACAGGGCCTCACTGAGTTGCTTAGAGCCTCACTAAGTTGCTGAGGCTGGCTTTAAAACTACAATCCTTCTGTCTCAGCTTCCTGAGCCACTGGGACTATGGGTGTGTGCTACCACACCCAGCTTAAGATCTTTTTTTTAATATTGAGTTTTCCGTACTTCTCTCCTCCAGAAACTTCAACTCACTGGGTCTAGGACAGAGTCTTCAACAAGAACCTCAGGCATTCTTAAGGACATTTGCTCTTAACTCATCTCAGATTAGCTGGGAGAACAGATTGATCTTGATTTGAGGCAGTGATCCTCAAACTTGGGATGGTATCAGAATCATCTGGAGAGATTACTAAAACAGACTGCTGGGACCCCCTTCAGAGCTTCTGATTCAGCAGGTCTACTTTGGGTCCCAAGGTTTTGCACTTCCAGCAAGTTCCTGAGGGATGCTGAAATGGCTGGTCCAGATGTCTCACTTTGAAAGCCATTAGTTTAAATGTTCCTCTTCTGCAGGTGGCGATGCCTCCATCATTCCAATGCTTGAGTTTGAAGAACAGCCTTGCTGTCCTGTCATTAGAGATCAGGATAGCAGTTTATCATTAGAAGACAGTGGTAATGTGAAGACTCCTGAAAATGAAAGGAAATACGAAGACCCTGACGGTCCTGTAGCCAAAAAGATGAGGCTTGAGCCTGGAACTCCTGCCAGGTTCTTCACCAATGGCACAGCTCAGCATGGCAAGCAAGACAGTGGCTCGTTTGCATCAGGTGTCAGAGGCTCTAACCTCACTGTAGAAAGACTGGCCGATATCACCTGTGGAGCTCCCAGGAGTGCCACAGTGGTGGACATTTATAGAACTGGAGCCAAGTGTGTGCCTGGAGAAGCTGAAGACTTGAGGAAGCCAGGTGCTGCATACCACCAGGTGGGGTTGCTCCGAGTGAAGCCAGGCCGGGGAGACAGGACCTGCTCCATGTCATGCAGTGACAAGATGGCCCGATGGAATGTCCTTGGCTGCCAGGGTGCACTTTTGATGCATTTCTTAGAAGAGCCCATCTACCTGTCAGCTGTTGTCATTGGGAAGTGCCCATACAGCCAGGAAGTCATGCAGAGAGCACTGATTGGAAGGTGAGAGGGCAGGGAGGAAGGGCAGTTTGAGAATATGTTCAGAGAGCCTTAAAAGTTTCCATGCCTTGTCAGGCACTTGGCAAGTGGCGAATGCCTGTAATGCCTTAGGCATGGGAGGCTGAGGCAGGAGGATTATGAGTTCAAAGCCAGCCTCAGCAAGTGAGGCACTGAGCAACTCAGACCCCGTCTCTAAATAAAATACAAAATTGGGGGCTAGGGTTGTGGCTCAGCCTTAGAGCACTCGCCTAGCACAAGCGGGGCCCTGGGTTCAATCCTGAGCACTACATATAAATAAATAAAGTAAAGGTATTGTGTCAACTACAACTAAATATATATATATATATATATATATATACACACACACACACACACACACACACACACACACACACACACTCTCTCTCTCTCACAAAATTACGCTGGGGCTCAGTGGTTAAGTGCCCCTGAGTTCAATCCCCAGTACGAAAAATAATAATAATAATAATATTGGGGCAGAGTGTGATGGCACATGCCTCTAAACCCAGTGACTCAGGAGGCTGAGGCAGGAGGATCACAAATTTGATGCCAGCCTCAGCAACACAACGAGACCCTCTCTCAAAAAATAAAATAAAGCCAAGCACAGTGGCGCACACCTGTAATCCCAGTGGCTTGGGAGGCTGAGGCAGGAGGATCACAAATTTGATGCCAGCCTCAGCAACACAACGAGACCCTCTCTCAAAAAATAAAATAAAGCCAAGCACAGTGGCGCACACCTGTAATCCCAGTGGCTTGGGAGGCTGAGGCAGGAGGATCAGAAGTTTAAAGCCAGCCTGAACAACTTAGTGAGACCCTGTCTCAAAGTTGGAAAATAAGAAGGTCCGGAGATGTGGCTCAGTGATTAAGTGCCCCTGGGTTCAATCTCCAGAATCACAAAAATAAAAATAATAACAATAATAATATTATGGCTCAAAAGTTTGAATAGAGCCCTGAGTTCAATCCCCGGCACTGCAAAAGAAAGGTGAATATTTAATGTGAAAGATATTCATAGTATACCCCATTTGATTCAAATGTATGATATGTCAAGATCATTGTACTGTCATGTGTAACTAATTAAAACAAATAAAAAAAGATAATATAATATTTAAAGACCAATTGAGAACATAAAATGAGCTCCATTTTGATCTTGAAGTATGTATACACATAGAAATCTGTAGGAGGATTTTCACCAAGATATAAGTGATGATTATCTCCAAGTTGTGTATTGTGAGGAATTTTTCCTTCTTTCTTATTACTATATTTCCAATTTTTATAGAGTATACTTATGTTGTCAGTATAGTATAGAACCCTTCAATATTAATTTTAATTTTTTAAAAAAGATGAAGAATGACCGCACTGATGAGTTTTCCCTAARGGAGGCAGCCAAGCCTGATTAATGCTATGTAAATGAGAACCAGGAGAAGCCATGGCCAGGGAAGTGTCATGGGCTCACATGAAACATACAGCCTCTGGGGGAGATTCTAAAAAGCAGCACCTGAATATGACCCAGCAGTTCCACTCTTCAGTACAACTCCAAGAGAAATGAAAACATATACCCCACAAAAACATTATGTATTACTTATGATAGCCAAAAAGTGAAACAGCCCAAATGCCCATCAGTGGATAAACAGATAAAAAGAATGCAGCGTATCCATACAATCAAATATTCAACTATAAAATGGACAGGAGTGCTGAACCTTGAAGACACCTTGCTGAGTGACATTAGCCACATGGTGTATGATTTTATTCATACAAAATGTCCAAAAGAGGCAAATCATGGAGCTGGGGTTGTAACTCAATGGTAGAGTGCTTACCTAGTATGGTGACGCAGTGGGTTAGATCTTTAGCACCACATAAAAAATACATAAATAAAAGGTATTGTACTCATCTACAATTAAAAAAAATATTTTCTAATTAAAAAAAAGGGAAAATCAAGACAGATTAGTAGATGCCAGGGGCTGGTGAAGGAAGCAGAGTGACTGTTAATGGGTGTGAGGTTTCTCAGACTTGGAGTTCCTATCTACATAGTTTTACACCAGCATCATGTTGGCATCTAGTATGTGCAAAAGATACAAAAGGAAAAAAAATAAGCTTTTCATTTGGCGATATTTTCAGTTTCTGGTGTGTTTGAAGGATTTCCTGGAAAGCAGTTGCCAACAGGTTAAAGATTCTGCTTCAACTTTCTCAAACCTTTAGCAAGAATGTATTTTGAGGGCTGGGGTTATGGCTCAGTGGTAGAATGCTCGCCTAGCATGCTTGAGGCACTGAGTTCAATCCTCAGCACCATATAAATGTAAAATAAAGATATTGTGTCCATTTTAAAAACTAAAAAATAAATATTAAAAAAAGAATGAATTTTGATATGACGTAGACTCGATTCTTAGTCATCCCTTCGGAGTGATAGGAGGGGTCTTCCTCCACCCATAGGCGCTTACCATGTAGATTCTGTCCTGGCACACATTCTGGTCCCCAACATAATGAACAAGTAGATTCACACATCTCCCAAGGCCTTTGCCTCCCGCTGAGGCTCAGGGATGATGATGTGGTCCACAGTCCTAGATCAGTCTTTCTGGAGAAGTGCACCTGAACTGAACACATTTTCCTTCATGTTTAGGTGTCAAAATGTCTTGGCTTTACCCAAAGGTTATGGAGTTCAAGAACTGAAAATACAGCAGTCAGATTTACTGTTTGAACAGAGTCGCTGTGCAGTGCAGACAAAAAGGGCTGACAATCCCGGTCGACTTGTTCCATGTGGGGCAGGTAAGGGATCCAGGTTGGACTTGCCTAGTATAATTTCTCCCCTGACAGACTAGTCTGGGAGGGTCTGCATCCTCCCAGCTTAAACAGGCAGTTTACCACTCTAGTAGTCAACAGTGGAAATGCCCACACCAGGTTAAGTTTATGGCTATGTGACCCTGAGCAAATGAGTTACCTCTCCTGGCCTCAGTTTCTTTATCTTCATATTTGAAGAGTATTGTTTATTGTGGTTATTATGAGGGCTAAGAAATTCTGTCACGTGCATTTACTCTGTGTCTAGAATGTAATAAATTTTCAATGAAATTATAAGTTATTATGATAATGAATCCTGAACCACTTTATACTATCGTACCCTAGAGGCCAGACATCAAAGTAAAATTATTCTCTTTGATATCCAGCTCTCATGGTCATGTAGAGTCAGAGAAATATTTTCATTAAAATTTTCTGGCATTCATTGGAAACAAACCAGTTTTAACCACAGAATTTTACCTTTTTGCAGCTATCAGCTGGGCTGCAGTTCCTGAGCAGCCATTGGATGTTACTGCCAATGGCTTTCCACAGGGAACAACAAAGAAAGGAATTGGAAGTCTTCAGGCCAGGTACAGCATGTTGGGGCATGAAGAGATGGTGACTGTGAACTTACACCTTCACTGAATAATTCCAGAACATTTTCATTGCCACCCCCCACCCCCGCACCAAGAAAACTTTATCCATTAGCAGTTAGTTACCTGCTCCTTCCTCTCCCTAGCACTTGGAAGCTTAATTCATTTTCTGTCTTCTTGGGTTTGTCTCCTGGACAGTTCATATGAATGGAACTGTACAATATGTGCCCTTTTGTGTGTGGCTTCATTCACATGACTTCTTTTCATGGTTCACTCATGTTGTAGCAAGTATTAGTACTTCATTTCTTTCTGTGGTTAAAAATATTCTGTTGTATGAATATGCCACTTTTAGCTCATCCATTCATGAATTGATGAGTACTGGGGTTGTTTTACTTTACTTTTTGTCTATTGTGAATAATGTAGCTATGCCATTTCACATTCCCACCAACAATGTGAAAGGAAATTCCAGTTGCCCTCCATCCTGTGCAATTCTTGTTATTGTCTCTTTTTTATTGTAGCTATTCTACTGAGTGTGAGGTAGTATCTCATTATGGTCTTGATTTACATTTCCCTAATGACTAATGGTGTTGAGCATCTTTTATGTACTTATTATCCATTTGTTGTAAGCTGCTGCTACTGCTGCTTTTTTTTTTTTTTTTGGTACCAGGGATTGAACTCAGGAGCACTCGAGCTCATCCCCAGCCCTATTGTGTATTTTATTTAGAGACAGGGTCTCACTGAGTTGCTTAGCTATTGCTGAAGATGGCTTTGAACCCGTGATCCTCCTATCACAGCCTCCTGAGCTGCTGGGATTACAGGCATGTGCCACCGTGCCCAGCAGCTTCTTTTTTGGTCTAGAAATTGAACCCAGAGGCATATAACCACTTAGCCACATCCTCAGCCCTTTTTTAATTTTTTATTTTGAAACAGGATCTCACTAAATTGCTGAGGCTGACTTTGAACTTGGGATCATCTGCCTCAGCCTCCCAAACTGACATGATTATAAGGTGTGCGCCACCACCATGCCTGGCCATTTTTTATCTTCTTAAGACAAAATATTTGTTCCCATTCTTTGCCCACTTTGTTAATTTGTTTATCTTTTTAGTTTGCATTTTAAGCCTGCTTTATATACTATGGATACTAGTCCTTTATCAGATATGTGATTTGCAAATATTTTCTCCAGTTCAGTGAGTTGTCATTTCACTTTATGATCATGTCTTTTAAAGCAAAAAATTTAAAATTTTGATGGAATTAACTGTACGTATTTTTTTCTTTGGTTGATTGTGCTTTTGGTGTAATACTTAAGAAACTATTACCTAATCAGATTTCCTCAATGTTTTCTTCTAGTAGTTTTGGGGGTTTTGTTCTTATAGGTTAGAGCCTTTGATCCATCTTGAGTTGATTTTTCTGTGTGGTGGATATCCTGACCACATGTATGTGCATACCCAGTTGACCCAGCACCACTCTCTTGGAAAACCTGTTTTTTCCCTAGACAGATTTTTAAAAGAAAAATCCCTCCTTCACTAGGGATTCTGATTTATGTAGGTTGACATCGGCCAAGCAGCAGCATTGGTGAAGCTCCCCAGTGATTGGGTTGGCAAAAGGGCATCTGGAAACAGGACTCTGCCTCTTCAGGCTGGCTCTTGCTGAAGTGTAAGGTTTGTAGGCTGCTAGACGTGAGACCCAGGTTTCATCCCTGCAGGTTCATGCCTGTGCCCATGGGGCACCCTTTCTATTGCCTGGCCAATGTAGTCACTCTGCTTTTCCCTCCCTGTGAGCCAGATGTGGTCTGTAAGTAGCTGGGGTGAGAGGGCTTCAAGGGAGAGGCTGCTCCACCACAGGCATTTCTATCTGTTTGGATTGAATTGTCACCAGTGTGACTGCTCTGGAACTCCTACAATTTACAAGTAGTCCTTTTTATTCTAAATCACTTTTCCATTTCTTTGTTATACCTTTTAAAAAGTTGTATTGTAATTGAAGTTCACAGATGGATTTGTTTTTTGTTTTGATGTGCTTATTTACCTGTCTCAAAACAACCCATAAAACCCAACTTGTATTCATTTCTTTAGTGTTTTGTTTTTTAAATTAAAGGTTTTCTCTTCATAGCCACTAAGTGCCAGGGTTCAGATAGCCTACATAGCAGACCCTGCCTATCCCTAGAAACCTAGGCTGTTGAACTGGAATCTTTTTCTTTCTTTCTTTTTCTTTCTTTCTTTTTTTTTTTGTGGTGCTGGGGATTGAACTCAGGGCCTTGTGCATGTGAGGTATGACTCTACCAACTGAGCTATATCCCCAGCTGAAATTTTTTAAAATATTTTTTTAGTTGTAAATGGACATAACTTTTGTTTATTTATTTTTATGTGATGCTGAGGATCGAACCCAGGGCCTCACACGTGCTAGGCAGGCGCTCGACCACTGAGCCCCAGCTGAAATTTTTTGGAGTAAAGATATTTAGACCACTTTTTCCCCAGGGGAGTTCCTGGTTTCAGGACACTTTTTATACTTTTCAGGGAACCAGCTCTGAGCATAGAGCAGGATGTGTGAGCAGAGTGGGTCATGAGGGACAAGACCACAGGTTTCCTGCTGATCTCTATGTCTGTTGTCAGTGACAGCCTTGCATCTCCTCATGTTGGCCCCACCCAGCTGAGTGTGGCTTCCTTTTGCTGCTTTGCTCAGGAAACAAACAAACAAAAAATTGTTCTTCTTTTCTGTGAGTCTAAAACCTTTAACCTGAAGAACCCCCCTCAAATACCACTGACTTGTGGCTCAAAATCTGTCTTTCTTAAGATTCCTATGGTGCTTTTCTGCAGAATGTCCCAGTATGCCAGTGTTACCTGTATGATTGAGAATGCCTCGTGTTCTGATCCTGCCTCTGTCTCCCAACTGTCTGGGTCATTTGAGGCAAATCCAGTTGCTCTCTGGGCCTCAGTGTATTCATATCTGTAAAATGAGGATAGACGATCTGAGGTCTGATATATTGTGGATGTCTCTCCATTTAGAAGGCAAACTTCCAAGCAGGGAGGAAGTATAAAAAGAGGAGAAGCTTTGGGATTGAAGAGATCAATGTTTAATTACTGACTTTCTTTCTCCCCAGTGATATGGACTTGAGCAAATTATTGGATCTTTCTGAACTTGTTTCCCCAACTATGAAGCAAATTAGCTGCTAGTATCTATCCCACAGGAATAATGTGAAATTGAGTAAGATGGAGTACATTAGACTGTGCAGTTTTTGTCAAAATCAGTTTCCCTTTTAGTCATCAGATGAAGCTTTATATCATTATAACGCATGAAGGAAGCAGAGTTGCCTTTATTCTAAGACCAACAGCTGCTTCAGAGAAAGATTTTCTCACTGCTCATCCCTGAGTGCCAGCATTGTGGGACCACCTTCTGTGGAACTACAGGGAATAGAAATCCTAATGGGTTTAGAGATAATGTGGTAGACTAGTGTAACATTAGAAGGAAATATTTAAATCTTTGTGTATTTTTACCAATAATGGGATAATAATAGGAAGTAGATAAGGTCTCATTTTTTTCGTTGCACATGGACACAATATCTTTTTTTATTTTTATGTGGTGCTGAGGATCGAACCCAGTGCCTCACATGTGCAAGGCAAGTGCTCTGCCTCTGAGCTAAAGCCCCAGCCCAAGATCTCATTTTTAAGAAGCTTAATTTTACTCTGCCTTTCTTCACCCTGAAGAGACAAATTCTCTTCCCATGCCAGTAGAGAGTATCCTGGAGAGATCATTATAGGGTTTGTTGACTCATAAGAGCACGAGGGACTTTTAGAAAAATCCAAGTGTGTCTGAGTATGCTAGTAAAGAGAGTGCTATATTTAAAATGTCAGTTTGAATTCACAAGCTGCTTAAAATTATATATGTATGTGTAGTTTTCCTTGCTCTTTTTCTGGTACCAACTAGTGATTTTAAACAATTCACAAGGAAGAACCTAATACTTCAGAGTGTTATCCTCCTTGCCAAAAGGACCCAGGGCTCCCTGCAGAGCAGCAGCTAACAGCCACCTAGAAATTATCAGCCTCCTTGGATAATCTCAGTAGCTTTGTTGAGCAGGTCTCTCTCTGACTTACCAGTGCAGTCACTGTGTTCTGCTGTTGAATAGGGCTTGAGAAAAGGCTTGCTTCTTTGGAGAGAGCTCTCCAGCAGAGGAAAGGTTCCCAGCATTCCCAGTTTACCTTATTTTATTTTTTTCCAGTGTTGGTGATCAAATCCAGGGTTTTACACATACTTGGCAGTCACTCTACCACTGAGCTATCCTCCCATACTCCCAATCTATCTTTATAGATGTAACATCTTTTTTTTTTTAAAGAGAGAGAGAGAGAATTTTTTAATATTTATTTTTTAGTTTTTCGGCGGACACAACATTTTTTTTTGCTTGTTTGTATGTGGTGCTGAGGATCGAACCCAGGCCTCACGCATGCCAGGCGAGCGCGCTTCTGCTTGAGCCACATCCCCAGCCCCAAGATGTAACATCTTAACAATACTGATAAGGTGACCTAGGCTAAAAGTGTTCTTCTGGAAAGCAGAGTGTTGAAAACTTACATAGATCTACTCTCAAGATATGTACAGTAAGACTTAAAAGTTAAGCTATCTTGCACAATGACTTCATCAGTAAGGCTGGAGGCCTTGACATTCCACTGCCATCAGAGTGGTAAATAGAATTCAGTAGGCCTTTTTCCAGTGAGATTTAGGAGGCATGTTGAACCTTGATGTGGATCTGTTTTCCAGGCTACAGATCATACACGGTAGGTTACTAAGGCTCTTGTTATTGTGACTGAAAGGCCTCAACATATTTCACTAATACTCAGTAATAATTTAATAAATTGTTGGGCTGGGGATGTGGCTCAAGCGGTAGCGCGCTCGCCTGGTATGCGTGCGGCCCGGGTTCGATCCTCAGCACCACATACCAACAAAGATGTTGTGTCCGCCGAGAACTAAAAAATAAATATTAAAAATTCTCTCTCTCTCTCTCTCTCTCTCTC